AGAACAGGAGAAATAAAAAGATTAAATGTGTTATCTATGTGCATCAATGTGCCACAATACACTGCTGTTGTCCCACAAACATGTACTAGTAAAAATTCTAAGTATTTAAGATTCTCTTGCATTTTCTAAGTATTATAAACTTCTTTTTTATTTTATGAAATTATTTTACTGAAAAAATCAATACTTAAATATGTATATTAATTCTGTTTTTCTAAGGTTTTTTTCTTTAAAAAGTGCTAAATCTTATATTGTCTACAAATGCAGGTATCATCACAACCAATCTGTAGAGATAAAGATTCAAGTAGAATTTTAGCCTGCATTTTAGAGAGGGGAAAGAATAGTATATTCTCTGTATATATACTTTTTATTGGATAGTGCTATAAATAGGCAATAGTGACTTAGAAACCATATTTAGGCTGAATTATAAGCTGTATTTTTAATTTCAATATGTGTCATTTTTATTCTTAATTTCCCTATGTTAAAACATGTGGAATTGTCTACCAATTGCAATAATTCAGGGGTTGTGTGCCTGGTGAAATAGCAAAGGAAGTTAAATACTGTATTACTTACCTCCTTTGGCCAGTTGTGTAAGCATGTTATAACTTTTTTGAATTTCAGTTTCTTCATCTATAAAATGGACATCACAATGTCTGTTGTGCAGGGTTTGGGTGACAGTTACTGTTAAAGGCTCATGTGTATCTGGAGCCTCTTCCTCATAGTTTTGATAAGGTCCCTACAACATTTAAAAGAGGAAGAGGTCTTTGGGCATGTAGACTGTGATTTCACTTTAAAAGCATGTGAGTGTTTTAACCCATACCTAAGTCTTAATCATATATGAAGTTCTGAAAAACATTTGATAAGCCTACATTGCAATAAACAGAATTTTATTGATTTCAAAATGCATTTTAAAAGTATTTTATATCTATGTACTTAAAATTGATGATGTCAAATAAACACAATTCACATTGTTTTTCTTTCTTGACAGTACATAATAGAATGATAGATTTTATAAATAAAGATATCTTGGGGTCAATAATAAGCTTTTATAACTTCCTGAGTATTTTCCAATTTAACACTGTCTTCTTAGGAAAACTCACGTGGCTTAATGAGTTCCTACATGCATTAGCAAAAGAAGTTCTAATCTTTGTTTTGATTCTGGGCATTGTTTCACTCTGACTCATAGCACCTACTCTAGCATTCAAGATGCCACCCAATAGATACACTGCATTTTCAAAAAGTTCTCAATGCACACAAATCCTAGGTTAAAGATCTTAAATGTCAAACACAGATAGTGTAGGTCTCTACTAACATACCCATAAAAATGAAAACTTCAGAAGCCACTCAAAATTGATTAACCCCAACAAAAGAAATCATGACACAAACAAAAGCATCTAACCTCCAAATTCCTCAGTCAGACTTATGGGCACAGATTTTAAAATGTGTGCAGGTTGTTGGCCCAGATCAATTTTACTCCAAGTAGTCCATTCTCTTGAAGACTTGGCCAACTCCTGAAAGCAAAGTAACTAGGTAAACACATTGGTCACGCGGTACAGGCAACTGTTCATCTGTTTTCTTCTCCTGCTCCACCTGCCCCACCAAATATCTTGGGGGTCACAGAAACCTTGATAAAACACCCACCTTTCCAGCCTACAAATCAAGAGGCTAGATAAAAGAGAAACCTGTTCCTCAAGGCCTTGAAGTTACTAGTAAAACAGGAGAAGGGAAGAGCACTTTTTGCCTTCCATTTTGTGATCTGAAAGTGCACATCATTTAAAGACAACCCAAAAGTACTACTCAGTGTGAAAATAAAGACATAAACAGAGGTTGAATTTTTATTCAGTGATTAGAGAAGTGACAGCTTAATGGATGAGACATTTGCTACATCACAATTAGCAAAGTAGATGAAGAAATAGGTGCTCTTGGTACTGGTGGAGGGAGAACAAAGCCTATTCCAGAATGACCTAGCAGTACATAGTTAAACTGAGTACAGCTAACATGTCTGTGACCTACCCTACCATCTGACCAAGAAAAACCTCACATTCCTAGATTCCTAAGTGCATGCTTTAAAGAAATTCTCAAAGAATTCCATAATGTGGCATATGAATCCTGGTGTTTGTAATGGCAGACAACATGAAGAAGTGAAATTATCTGTCAATAGGGGATGTGATAATGATACTAAAATGTTCCACAGTGATGAAGATAGGGGAGGTAGCGTGCAAGTAAATTTATGGATAGAATAAGAAGGGTGGAAATACATTTATCTAAAAAGTACAAAAGCAAGGAATTAGAGCTCCTGTTGGGGGAGGGGTGTCCTAAGTAGGATACTCCTGGAGGTTCTTGTTCTAAGAGCTTTTAAAAGACTTGGGAGGAAATTCAAGCCATTGTGTCAGCCATGCAATCTCTACCCTATAGGACAATATGTACTTCTAAGATTCAATCTATGCAGTGTTCACACAGTCCCCACACAGTGCCCACACAGGACCCACATATCCTTGTACCAATGGCCTGCCTGTTCCTGCCCTGGGTAAGTGCCAGACAGTTGAAGTTCATGGGGCAGATGTTTTTATGACAACCATGGAAGGCAAAGACTCAGCAGGCTCCATTATGGGCTTCCCAATCCCATTTTGGGGGCCACTGTTCTTATTGTCTAATAGAACCCCAGCTCGTGTTTTACTAAGATTCTGATTACAATAGTTAAAAGGTAGGTATTGTGGAACTCAGTGTCATAGCGCTAAATGACAAAGCACATAATATACTATGTTCTCAGGTTGTGACCCAGTGGAGTCAGTCATACTCAAAAGTATGATGAAGAATCAGAAAAGTGGAAAACACAATGGGACTTCTTGTAAAATAACGTATGCAAAGTAATACATGCTTTACGATGATATGCTCATATTTCAGGATAAAATGGAATTTGAATTAAACTGAGGATCAGACATAAATGTTAAAACTAGAATAAGTATAAACAAATAAAGATAATATATAGATGAGTTACTCATTCAGTTTGAAAATACTCCAAAGTATAAATCATAGTACAAGATCAATTATATAATACTCAAAATGACTCTTTTTCCATTGTTTTGACCATGAATATCCATATTTTCTAGGATAGACTGATTCTAGTTGTTTAGGTATATAGCAGCCCCCCTTTTATCCTCATAATATACATACCAAGACCTCCAGTAGAAGCCTGAAGTTTAACTAAAATATATCTTTTTATAAATACTTGCTTACATATAATAAAGTTTGAAGCTGTTCCTAGGTGGTGAACTTTTGCAATCCTAGTACTCTGGAAAGCTGAGACAGGAGGATTCCAAGTGCAAGCCCAGCCCGGTCAACATAGGTACAAAGTAAAACACAGTCTCAAAATAAAAATAAATAAATACATACGCTAAGAGAGTAACAATATCTAATAATGAAATAGAACAATTATAATATAACATATAAAAGTCTTGAAAAATATGTTCTCTTCATTCCATCTCCCTCTCTTAAAGTATCTTCTTGTATTTTTACTCTTTCAGTTGACTTAACCATTTCACAGCTCTTCTTATGCAGAACAAATTGCCAGCAGACTACTCATATGCATTGGACCATTACTGAGTAAAAGAAGTGTTACCTGAATGTAAGCACTGTGACACCATGATGGCTAAATACCTGAGACCCAGTACTAGGTGACTGCAGATAGACACATATACAGTGTGATATTTTAGACAAAACAATGATTCACCTCGCGGTTCTGACAGAGCTAAAAAGCATAAGAGCTCATGGTGCCACCCACTGGCACACAATGTAAAACTTAATGAATTCTTTATTTCTGGGACTTTTCATTTAATATTACCAGACTGCTGTGATTGCACATAATTGAAACTATGAAAGTAAAACTTCAGATAAGAGGGAATTACTGTATGGCCAACACATGGCCTATCTTTTCAGTCCCTTTATTTTCAGAGTCACACTATTAGGGCACACTATTTTGTAAGTAATATTCTGCTGCAAAATATAGACATATAAACCAGGTATGGTGGCACAAATCTGCAATCCTAGCCTTCCGGGAGGCTGAGCTCAGTCTGGGAAGTCCAGTGACTTAGGAAGAACTTATTTCAAAATAAAAATAAAGAAATAAATATAAATAGTTGAGGGTGTAGTTTTGGGTGGATGCCCTGGGGTCAATCCTCAGTGTCACATACACACACACATACACACACACATACACACACACACACACACACTCACACACACCCCTACCTGCGCACACAAATTGAGTGAGGATATAGCTCAGTGGTAGAGGGCTTTCCCTGAGTTACAGCTTCAGGCCAAGAAAAGAGTAGGAATATAAAACTTTTCTAGTAATTCAAGTAAATATTAAAGAAATTTAATAAAATCTCTGAAGCTAGTAAGCAAAACAGAGCCAGTTTCAACTATAATTTCTGATAGGACTGACTCCTGTGTAATTACCAATGGATATAATCCAAAAAATCTTGAAAATACTTGAACCTTCGTCATGCCACCAAGTTCTCCCTTCTTGGCTAAAGTTCAGGGTCTGAATCAAATGCGTTTCCAGCCCTCTCTTATGATCTGTGTGTCTGTAGACATGTCTGGACCAAGGATGAAGATTCAGGAATTCTTTCAGGAATAGTCTTCCTCTAAAGATGGCAGAAAGATATATAAAATGGTAGTTGGGAATCATTTTAGAAGTTTGATTCTTTTGGAGTAGTCAAATAAGACCTATACCTTTGCAATTTTTCATAATAAAAGAGGACTTGACTGCAAATAGAAATGTACATTGTTCTTAAATTCCTTATAGGTTCTGTAATACACAAAGGTCTATCCAGTACAGACACAGCTTACGGGCAATGAAAGGAAAAAGTCTGTTTAGAGAGAAGAAAAAGCTTCTTTGTTTTGTTTTGCTTTGCCTGTGACTGACTAGACATCTGGACTATGACACTATCTAGGAAAGACAAAATGTTCTGTTTGTTGCACTACTCAACATCGAAATTAGGGTGGGAAAGAAGAAAGCAGTAGCTAGGACTTGGTAATAGCACTAGCTGTGCTGGCAAGTGAGTAGAGAGGGATGAGACACTTCCCAGAGATGCTTGTACGATGGGTTCATTGAAACCATCTTTGGGTGTAAAATTATTTTCTGAGCACAGCATCTCTACTCTGTCGAGAAGCTCCCAATTCAGCTGATCCTTGAGGCATAGAACTCAAGGACTGGAGTGGCAGGAGCAGGGATTTTAGTTCCATTATCACTGTCTTGTCATCACTGGCTAAGAACTTACCTAACAAGACTGCCTGGCAGCATCCATTATATTTAAAGCCATGATTAATCTGCCCTCAGTTGAGAAATTTCTGGTTGCAACATCATCTGAACCATTTAGAAGAAAGCACGTTCTACTGACAGACATCTCTGCAAGGAGCTGGAATCAGCGTGAAGTCCTCGGGACTTGAAGACAGACTTCCAAAGAACTGATAGATCTGGTAAGAACTTAATCTATTTACAGGGACTGGGTTGTAGTATATCTAGGAGACACGGGAAACCTGTTGAGGGTTAGACTTTAAATCTTAATGAGATGCCATGATTTGAGTCTCTCAAGTTAAGCAAGAAATAGAAAGACTATACAATGGTCACTGAGGAAGGTGAGGTTACATTGCACAGCTCTCTAGGCATTTCTCGATGAGCTTTCTCTTTCAGAAAGCTGCAGCATTTAAAAAGCAGGCAGAAACCAAATATCACTATATTTATGCAAATATATAGGAGGCATCACAAGCTGATAGCTGGACCTACTACATTTAATTGGGTTAAATGTGAGTCACTGGCTTTAATAAAAGATTAGAATACAAGAGCTTCATGAGATACCGAGATAGTTTCAAGGTAATTACTAAAATTTGTTTATTTAGTAGATTGAAAATGTCATAAAATAGAAAAATACTGTAGAGAGCAAAACATTCTGATGTCCAGATTTTCTTTTCAGTTGTAAAGATACTGTATTGTTTGCATAATGTTTTAAAAACCGGTGATTTTTTTTAAGCACTGGGAATTGAAACCAGGACCTTTGCACTAAGTTATATTCCCAACTCTGTTATCTTTTATTTTGAGACAGGGTCTTGCTAAATTGCTAAACTGCCCAGTTTGGGATTACAGGTTTCATATGCCCTGTTCTGATTAGCATTTTAAAAAAGTTCTTCATTGTCTTGTTTCAATAAACTTAAGCACGAATATTCTTTTTTTATAACCAGAATCATCTACAAGAAAACGCCCACTGACTGATGACACTGATCTCTCTGCTTAGGGAAATTATGAACCTCCTTCTGATAATTTATGAAGGATGCATTCTTCTTCTTTTCTTCTTCTTTGTAAGAATTAGACTTATTGGGTGAGAAATGAAAAACTGTTTCACGTTAATGGAGATTATAATTTAAGCCTAACATTCTCTCTTAACACTCCTAATTGAAGACCTGCACTATAGAAACTATGGAGATAAGCGTGAACCAGTTTGATAGATGAATGTTCTTTCTAGAATATCCTTCCTAGAAATAGAAAGATTAGAGCTGTTCTGCAGTTCTATGGTCAAAAACCAGTTTTTAAAATAATTACTTATTTATTTTGTTTCTAGAAATAAGATTACTCTTATCAGACATTTTTTAATCTATGAGAAAATAAGTCAGTTAAAAATTTAGATCCTCTAGCACGCTTAGCACTTCAGGCTGGAAAAATGACAGTGTGGAACCAAATTGGAGGATTAATCTACCATGACTTCTACTGCCTCTAAGAGTTTCTGATCTCTCAGTCTATTTGAAGATCATGTCAAAGTTACCTAGTAAACCACCTCATTTTTTCAAAAGTGCTTAGCCTCGAAGCTGTAATCTGTAGGCCTGGACATCCTGTTGCATAAAGAATTCCTTTCATTTCCTGTTAATAACCTTCTCACTTTTACCCGCTTCACTGCCTTTCAATCTATGAGCAGATCAATATAGAGTAAAGCAACTTAGGTAGAGATTCTGATTAACTTTATTACTTATAATTATGTCAAATGTGAGTTATTGGTTTCAATAAAAGAATAGAATATAAGCACTTCATGAGACACAGAGATGGGTTCAATCAGTACCTAAATTTTGCATACATTAAATTCGCTTTAGATTGAAAAATGTCAAAAAATAGGAAAATGTTGCAGATGTCAAATCATTCTAATTGATAGACAACAATCTTCTAGCAAACCCAATCATTTGAATTATTTCAAAAAATCCAGTAATACACAAAATGTGTGGAACTGCTGAAATGATTATTACAAGGTGAAAATTCCAAGCCTGGGGAGCTCAGTAGCAAGACTCCTAGGACCTCCATCAGAGTTTAAATTTATACATAATTATTTCTAAATGTCATACCTATATTTTTATTATCAAAGATATTCAAGCTAATAAAAAGTATTAAAGAAAATATAGAACCAAAAGGTAAATCAGCAGAAGAGGAAAGAAGTTTAACCCCAGGAGCCAAATATAACATTATCACTATGGAGTAACCCTTCCAGTCTTTCTAACAATAACAGTTAATTGTTTGTTTATTCTGGAGAATTTTTTATTGTAAAGAAAATAAGAAAACAATGAAAACAATACAGAAGTTCAAACCAAGATGATAGGAAATTAACAGTGGTTAGTATATTGTTGTTTTCAGAATAGATGCTTAGTTTAAAAAAAAATAGTTGCTCGGATTACCAGATATAGGCATGCAAAATTGATCAAACAATGTAATCACAAACTGTTCCTTTCAATAGACTAATAGAATGAGCAGTACAATTATGTATATAATTCCCCCCTTCCTTCTTTTCTCTTTTCCCCCATCATTGTTCTTTCCTTTTGAGCAGTTTCTTTCCCTTTCACAATATCTATTGCATCTTTTGTATCTTATTTACTCTTTCAGTTTCTTATGCTAGGGAGATATTATGATGTTTACACATGCTAGTATGATTTGTTTCACTCATGAGTATGGTTTCTATTTGTACGCATTTACTTATAAAAGACTTGCATTTGTCTTTCTTTATAGCTGAGTAATACTGCATTATATAAACATGCCACATCATTTTATCCATTCCTTTATTGATGGATATTTACAAAATTTAGCTATTACAAATTGTGCTGCTAAAAACACAGGTGCAGATCATTGCTGTGGTATGATGTTTTCAATTCTTTTGGAAAAATACCCAGAAGGGGAATAGCTAGGTCAAATGGAACTTCAAATCCTAGATTTCTCTACACTGATTTCCCCAGTAGTTGCACTAGTCTACAGCCTACCAACAGTGAAGAAGGATTCTTTTTTCCCCACAGTCACACAAGCATTTGTTGTTGGATGAGTTTTTGATAATAGCCATTCTTTCTGGGGTGAAGTGGAATCTCACTGTTGTTTTAATTTGCATTTCTCAAATGACCAATGCTATTGGACATTTTCCATATATTTATTTGCATTTGCATTTCATCTGAGAAGTGTGTATTCATCTCAGAAGAAATTTTAAAAATGAAATTTTAATAATACAATATGAAAGTTTCTTAAAATTTGTTTTTGCTCTTCTAAACCCACATTTTGCAAAACTCTCAACTGCTTGTCAACTTTTAGGTTGATATACATATATGAAATTTGTGTCATAATTTTAAATATTTTTTAACCATGAATTTTACAGTGCATTAGATATTAGTAGTTTAAAATAAAATTGTTACAGTTTTTTTCAATCACTCAAATAGAATAATACCTAAGATCATTCATTGAAAAACCTTTCCTTATTTAATGAATTGAAGTAGATTTTTTATTTTTCTCCATGAATTCATATTTGCATTCTATTTTATCTATCCCTAGAAATTATATGCTAATATAAAGGTATTGGTATAAGTCTTTTATTAATAAATTGATTCTTCTCTGCAACTAAGAAGTGCATATACATTAGTATTTAAATTTTTCCATTTCTTGAGACTATGAAGTTGCGTTTTCTTTTAATTTTTAAATGGTTTTTCATCTTAACTTTACTAGTATAGAATTAATCCAAAGAATCACAAATGTGTTTGAAGTTTAATACATAAACGTTAAAAGTAAAAGTCTGTTAGCAATACATCTTCTAATTCTGCATCCACTGAAGATTTTATATTGGCATGAGATAAAATTTATTATCAATCATTTCCATTTTTTAGTGGATGTTAAGTACTGAGAAATTTAGCTTGTATGATCCCTTTCAGTTCTTTCAACTCTTTTTGAAGTTCTGCCCTGAAAATCATATAATGATACAACAAAAAGAATATTTTTATGATCTATCTGCTAGCAAGGAAAGTAGGTCTTTCTCATTTTTTATAACAAACAACTAGAAATTATCTGATTTGCAAAGGTTAATCATCCTTACAAAAATTATTACTTTAGTATGGTCATTTCCTTTCCCAGTGTCAATATTATCAACTATTTGTTAGGGAGTCCCAGCAGATTTTATATCCTAGAACAATTCACCATGGTGAGACTCATGAAAGAAGAGAGTTGGGCCTTGCTTTTGTGAAATTTGAAGAAACATACCTGTTGAAAGGCTGAGGTTCTTAGACTAGATTCATACTGCGAAAGAATGTGCATGAGATTCAAAGATCTTGAACCTGATTTTTAAAAAATTATTTAAATGTCTATGTGGTTTTTGAAAATGATCATATACCCTGTTATGATTACTACTGGTATGTATTTTTCTTCTCATTCAATAACAACATTATGACTATGTTTTCTTTCCATTATATTGCCTTAATAAATAATGGTTTTGTCTATATAATTCAATTAATATAGTTTAAGCATAGGTTTTATAATTAAAAAGTTTTAAATTTTTATTTAAAAATAAGAATAAATACAAACTTGTAAAAAAAAGATTTTCCCTCACTTCCAAATTGAGAATTTTTACCTTAGTATAAATTTATTGAGTGGAGCTTCTGGGATATAAGATACGATATTTTTTTTAAATTCTGATATATCTAAGTCAGGCACAGCAGAACATGCCTAGTATCCCAGCATTCTGGGAGGCTGAGGCAGGAGGATTGCAAGTTTGAACCTACCCTCTGCAACTTTTTAATTTAACAATTTGCTCAAAATATTTTTTTTTAATAGGGGCTGGTGATATAGTTTGGTGCAAAGGCCCTGGGTCCAATCTACAGTATAAAAAAGAAAAACTTCCAGTAAATTAGTAAGTAAAGAAATACATTTTTAAAGAAGTTGCACTAATTTGTGCCAGCACTAGAAATCATTTCAAACACCTGCTTTGCTGCGTAGTTTCTCATTTCTTTATATGTGGGATGTGATTACATTTGGTAACGTGTACGGATCTTAATTTTAGGATCTGATAACTCTTAACAATTAAGACCTCATCACCAAGCAAACAATTGTATTTCTATTCATTAGTTTTATCTTTTCTTCATCTTCACAGAAATGGAACTGTGGAGTACACAGTCTTTTGGATTTTGCCTCTTTTACTCAGCATGTTTGTGAGATTTACACATTCAGTTAAATGTGTCAGTGAGATTTCTCTCATATAACACAATTGCATATCTATTCTAATACTAATAGATGCATAGATTATTTCCAGTAATTTGATATTCCAGTTAATCTTTTGTCTGACAGAACTACTGAAAAAAAAGTGTTACTTTTTTTGATTTTTCCTTAAATATTAATGAGGTCATTGCCTAAGGTAAGGGCTCTCTAAATTCTTTTTCAATCATAGAAGTCTTCAATTCAAAAGTTCGGTATTTGGTCATTGGCAACTAGCATCTTCAGTGTTCTATTTCTTCCAATTGTGATTCAATTGATACAATTCAGTTTTTTCAATCATGATTTCTTCCACTTGTGATTCAATTTTCCCACAGAAAGAGCAAGAGGAAAATTTTCAAACTTAGTATCAATTTTTACTGTGGAACCAAAAGGCATTCCCAAAGAGACCAAAATAAAACTTCTATGATCCCTAAATGGTGAATGTCTGTGGGATGAGCCTGACAGTTCTTGTTTTAGGGCAATGAAAAACACAGAATGAAAGTTTCCATTACTTTTTATCATCTTTTGTTGAGAAATTGCCTTCTTAGATTCTATCAACAAGGTACATCCGTCAGTGCAAAAGGCATTTCTTATGAAAGCTACTTGCCCATTTGATGTAAAATATTTAAATACAATATGAGCTGAAAAATGTATTAGTTCAGTATTCCTTTAAAAGTTTCACCGCTCCCACTGGCTGCAGTAAGTAGATGAAAACCTACAGCCAGTCTTAGAGAAGTCTGAGCAATGGGAGAGTCTTAGTGATCATACTCCTGATAGTATCTGTTTTCCAGCCAAATTTGCCTAAGAGTGCAACAGGCATCTCTACATGAAGAAACTTTTGAAAGACTAAGGTCTGATTTTTGTCTATTTGCATCTCTTCAACCTTTCCTCTGTGATACAGGTTTGTTTGTGCATATAGCACTACAGTGAATAGAAAAAGAAATAATCATCAAAGCAGTATTTATTCACTATGTTCCTTGGAAAAAGCAAGTCATTGAATGTTTAATTGGTATCATTCAAACAATAAAAATACGAGTGAATAAGACAGTAGAAAAATTAATTAAACAAAATTAATTAGTATCTTGGTTGCAGGATTTTCCTGAGCCTTAACTACGAAAATGTAAGTTAAAATTCTCCAACTAAACTATGTTTATAGTTGTTAATATGATTATCCAGTCAAGTCATATGTAAAATATGCATTTATATTTATATATGTAGTTTAATATTTACTTGTACATGAGGCCTTCTTTACAAATATCCATGGGAATTACTTTTTATATGGCAATATGAAATGCTGACTTAGAATGATAAATCAATATAGCTCACTATAGATTATATCTATCATAATCCATATTGATTTAATCTGGGTATCAGAGGTCATAAATCTCACCTTCAAAAACAGACTATCCTAGAAATCATAATAACTGTTCTTTTCTTAGTTTAGTATCTCTCTACACTGTAGTGTAAAGCAGCATTAGGTCAGTAAGATACAACGTGAACATAATATTCATCAGGAAACTGCACAGAAGCAGGTCAAAGAATGAGGACTGTTGGAATATCATTATAGAGAGAGACCACAACCTGGCATATTAACCAAACAATTACAGTTACCACTGTGAGGCCCAGATAGGCTAAAGTATATCATGGTGAGAGGTGCCTGAAATTAATGTTAGTACTGGACATGCCACTGCTTACAAAATAGAGCACAGTCTCTTTCTGCCTAGGTGTGTTGCCCTTCTGTATCCTAAGCCATTACACAGAGGATTAAAACAAAGTGACTGATGGGGTCTGTGTCACAGCTGCAAAAGACAGCCTGTCATGACTAATACCTTCTTGTACCACTCCTTGTGGCACTGTCCCTACAGGCAGCATAGTGTGCTAGCCACGTAGCGAGCCCTCTTCACCTCTACCATTACTAGCCCTCACAGGATCTCCAGCATGGTCATTTCAAAAGAGAGTTAAATCTCCTCTGCCCTAGATGACCTAGGTTCACCTGTTAAATGATTTCAACTGTTAAAGTCTCAAAATGCTTAGTAGAAATAAGAGCACCTATATTGTCAATCCCTTGAAAGAGAAGATCAATTTTTAAAAATTTCCCTACTATGCTGTAGATACAGTCCTGAATTAGAGACATAATCAGCTTTCAAAGTTATAGTCAAAGAGAAACAGATGAGGTATTGTGGACTGATGCCAAGTAAGACAGGTAACATACAAACTAGTGAGTGTATCTGGACTAGTCACTAAGATTAATGATGTATTTATTTACTTCTCAGACTTCCATTTATTTGATAAACATTTATAAAAATCTCCATGTTAGGTCTTAGAGAAAAAAATGAATATAAAACTATTTTCCTTAGGAGTTTTCAAACTTTGGAATGTGTATGAACCACTTTTAAGATGATTTAAAATGCAGATATCTGAGTCAGTTCCTAAAACAAATCCTATAATAGATTTTCATTCAGTTTGGCTTTGGTGGAGTCTAAAAACCTTCATTGTTATGATGATTATCATGATGGTTATGATTATTACATTCCTTGTGGTCTACTGGACACACTGAGAAAAACAATCAGACAGTATCCAGGATGCCTTAGTAAATCTACTCAAAATGAACTAAGTAGTTAAAATATACAGGATTTCCTTACAGGCAACCAAAGGTCAGTTTAAGCCTTCATGACTATGAATTGACCTCAAACGAATTACTTGACCTTTGTAGCACCCAGTTTCACTGAAATAAAATAAAAATAATATCTTTATTCCTTTGGGATTTTTTGAGGATAAAATGAGGCAAGGAATGTCTGACTCATTATTAGGCACATAATAGATGTTCAATATATAGTGCCACTTGTATTAATAAATACTGCCATTGTTGATGGTATAGTCATTGTCATGTTTATGTACCAGAATCCAGCTATATTAACTTGTATGTCTACATAGTAGTGTGAGATTATATATTTAATGTATAATTCATATTCTATTAAGTACATTAATTATATAAAAATATATAAACACATATAATCTAATAGAGAGTGTGACTTCAGCAAAATCCAAGCCAAATCTATGAAACTTAAAATAAAGAAAGCACTGTATGAAAACTCCTCCATTTCCTATAGTATGAGGTTTACCATCACCCTCATACTGGGGTACAAACCAGAACAGATTGGTAGATAGAATGAATTTTTTACATAATTTGAAGTTCTGTATCTTACAGAGACAGCAGTAAATGGAAGTTTTCCTGAAAAATGTCCCCCTCTATTATTTTTGCAAAGTGGTTGGGTTATTTGTTCACTATTTACTGTTAAAGTTTTGCAGTTTCAAAGGAAAATGGGTATCATACATCATAGTTTACCTCCATAATTTTTATAAATTTAAAAATTTTCTGTTACAGTAATAACTTCTCTCATATGATAAGGTAATACTGAACACAGAAAAGTACAGAAAGTATGGAAAAAACTTTAAAAAAGATAACCTTCTAAACAACCACTGTCTAGATATAACTAAAATTAAAACTATTGTGTAGTCTTTTCCCCTGCGGTTTGTTTCATTAATGAATGCAAAAAAGTGCACAATTTACATTCTAATTTCTCTTAATATTTTGCAGTATATTTCATGTGTCACACATAAAACTTGATGACTCAATAATTCTATTCTTTTTCACCCTTAACTTATTAGGCCAATATTTATTTTGGAAAATTTTACTGTATTAAGATATAAAAATAATTTTATATACCATGCTTGTACACACTTAATTTTTATTTTAGATGAATTTCCAGAAATAAGATTACAGAACCAAGATGCCAATTATTTTTGAACTTGCATGACATGGTAATACATTTCTTTCTATAACGATTTTGCTGATACTTGCTCTTACCTTCAGGGAAGGAAAAAACAAAACAAAAAGTATCTGTCAGTCAAAGGTGTAGCTCAATGTTAGAGCACTTGTTTAGCATGTATAATGCTTGGGTTTACTCCCTATCACCACGAAAAACAGAAGCTAAACAACAAAGGTGATACTGGAGATTTTAAATGTGCTGTTACTATGGGCCATTATATTTCTTCTTCTACAAATTGTTTATTTCTTTTGTCTTTCCAGCTATCTGCTAAAAGACTTGATTGTTCTTCTCTCCTCCCTTTGTGTCTTCTTTTCTTAATAAAAAAAGTCATCATTTTAGATATTTTTCATGAAATAAGTCCTGAGAGTTCAGTGTGTTACTTGTGAACACAACCTAAAAGTATGTTTCTGATCTCTCCCACAGCAATGTTCTAAAAAGCTCACACCAGATTGCATCCTGTGGCATTTCTGTCTGGTGAAAAATACACTCACATTTCTTTCCCAGGTCAACTCCAAATGTGGCAGCTTTTAGCAGCAGCATGTTGGATGCTTCTCCTTGGACCTATATATGGTTATGATAAGCAAAGAAGAAGCACAAACCCTGAAGCTAATATGAACATTGTAAGTCATACACTGAGGGGAAAAAAATCCACTACCATAAGGAATTGTTAAGTAGTCGTGATGTTAGATAGACTGGAGGTTTCTAACTTTCAGCAATTCTACCAGCGGCTAAATTTGTGCTTCCTCTCTGTTTCTTGGCATGGCTAGCATGCAAGAAACGATAGCTCTGTTCCAAACTGGAGCAGAAATATTCCATATGTTGGCAGACTGAGCTACCATCCAGCGCAGAGTTACTGAACAGAAGGATTCATGAGCCAACACTGATGACACCTGTATTCTTGAGTTACTCGTGAGGCTTTTGGTACAGAAGGGTTTTTTCTATTTAGTTGCTTGCTGGTTTTGGTTTGGTCGTTTGTGAGATATACCGGTTTACCATTTTGGTTAACCGACCAGGACTGATTTCCGTGGCTTAGTCACAATTATTTTCCCTCTATTGTTATCTTCAGCAGTAAAATGAACATAAACAGGTTAAGAAACTCTCCATAGAGACATAGCTAATAAGAGAAGCAAGAATTCAATGGCTTACAGTCTGTTTCTTGAATCTGGACTTTTAAACACTGCTTTGTGTGGCCTCATAAATTATGCATGCATCTGTCTTCCTGACATGGGTAAATGCATAATCTTGGGAGAAAGATTTAGTCTTTAGAGCTAACTTCCCTTTATCATTAATCTTTTCTTTATCTCCTCCTTGGACAAATTGCTAATCTTCTTGAACTATTTTCTGAACTGTAAAAATAAGTGCAATTCTATCTCAAAGAGCTTTAATAAGGATTAGACAAGGGATACAATTTCTATGCAGAAGACAGCAGTTAGACACAGATTTCCCTCTTCCTTATGTACACACCCTAAGTGTCTTGCCTATGCCGTTGCATGCCGCCCTTTCCAGGAATCCTCCTCAACCTTCCTTTTCCAAGTATTTGCTGTCCTAACCCATAGATCAAAAAAGAGAAGTTTACAGTGTCAAACAGTATATTGCAGTGCATGTGAAAGAACAAGAGATTACATCATCAGAGCATTCTCTCCTTGTTTCAGAGCCAGATTATTTCCTATTGGGGTTATCCTTATGAAAAGTATGATATTGTGACAAAAGATGGCTATATCCTTGGAACTTACAGGATTCCTTATGGAAGAGGATGCCCAGAGAAAACAGGTATGATTTATTTTGTTATGAAATGAACAAAAATATTTCAAGCACAGATGCCTAGAAAACCTCATGGCAGCAGGACACTTATTTTTCTCAAATAAGTTGCAGTTCCTTCCTTTAGAAGGTAAATTCTACCTCTAATTTGCATAACTCTTTGATGTTTTAAATTATTTTCATATATTTTCTTTTGTCTCTCCTTTTCACCTTTCAAACACAGAAAACACAAGAAAATGTGTTCTTACTCTACTGATACCACTGTAAAGGTTTGAAAACCAGAGAGCTAGGAGTCATTCTTTTTTTTTTTTTTTTTTTTTTTTTTTTTTTTTTTTTGTCTTTTTCCTTTTTATTGGTACCAGGGATCGAACTCACGACTGCCTGCTTGCAAGGCAGGCGCTTATGCCGCTGAGCTAAATCCCCAGCCCCAGGAGTCATTCTTGATACTATCTTTTCTCTCCCTGTATGCTGCTAGTCACAAAAATTTCCCATTTTTGTCTTAAATTTCTCTCTATTCGGAAAGCTTCTCTCAGTATTAAAGCTCAAATACATGTTGGGACAAAGTTTCTTCAACTACTACAATGCCTGCTAATTCATATTAATCCACATGTAATCACTTCTCCATCAGCCAATGTTATTTTTTAAGATAAATAGGATTCTGCTAATTCTATGTTTAAGCTTCATTAAAGAACCATTTCTAGCTTCCTACAATACAGGTTCCTATCTAGAGGGGGAAAAAAAGAGTGAACCATGTGATAGAAGCAATTTACTTTTTCCCCTCATTTCTTAGCTCTTTTTCTTCATTGGCATATTGTAACACAAAACCTCTTAACAGCAGAAGAGTTAAATAAAAATATATCTTTTTTAAGAGACAAAACTATAATGCTATTGCTGACTTTATAGAACCAATCATTTGCCATAACTACATTGCTTTTGTAAATATTCATGAGAATATTTTAAATCTCCCTGAACTTTTCATTTCTCATTGCTGCCACATAGTTGTCAAAATGCACCAAGTAGAAATCTCTATTCTGAGAAGCTCTCTGAGGCCTCAGATTAAAGAGACACTAGGAACTATGGTGCAGGGCTTAACTTTGGGAGAGTTACAAAGAGCTCTTCTTTCCTCTTTACTCCATAATATGGAAAATGCATAGACTCAATTCCTTGCTTCTAGAAGGCTGATGTCTCTCTGAAATTCAGGTCAGGAGCACTATTCCAGTTCTACAAGTGACCTACTGTTGGGTTTGGAGGTACCAACACAGCTTCGAAAACCATTTACAAGGAAGAAGAAAAATCCAATCAGTTTCTTTCATTCTTTCTTTTTTTCAATGCCACATACCAGTTTCCTTATTTTATTTCCATAGCTAAAATATTCTAATTCTACATTGGGAGTAGGATTTCTAGATCATATTAACATATTGTATGAAATCCTATCTACAACATTGTATTGTTTTGTAACAATTCCAATAAAATGACGCATGTCTATAAAATCTATCATAGTACCCAGGACTCCGTAAACATTCAACAAATGGCAATTTTATAACCATTCTTATTATTTTGAAAAAATCTTTAAAGTTTTCTAAATGTTTTGTCAGAAGGAAAGTGCTATTAATATGAATAATAGTAATAAACTACTATTTACTAGCTAGAAGGTCTTTCACATTATATATTTTAAGTCACTGAATTCTTCTAATTAGCCTAAGAGACAGAATCTATTACTCTTTTCCATTGCACAGAGAAATTAGCCAGAAAAGGGTTTATATATGGCAAAATGGATTTTGAACAAGGATGATTTGACTCCAGAACTTACACAGTACATCATGTATGACTCAATTTTATAAATGAGAAACATAAGACATAAAGAAGATAGATTACTTGCTGAAGTGAAAAGACCATACCCCAGATTTTCCTGGCAACAAATTTTATCTCTTAACGTCTTTTTGTACTATCGCAAGTCAGTTTAAAAAAAAAAAAAAAAAAAAAAAAAAGATACCCGTGTGGCCTCTGAGGAAGTTCAGACATGGAATTCTTGTTATTTGTTTTGCAGCTCCAAAGCCTGTTGTATATTTGCATCACGGCTTGTCTGCATCTGCCAGTGACTGGATTTGCAACCTGCCCAACAACAGCTTGGCTTTCCTTCTAGCAGACAATTGTTATGATGTGTGGTTGGGGAACAGTCGAGGAAACACCTGGTCTAGAAAGCACCTGAAACTGTCACCCAAATCATCAGCATTCTGGGCTTTCAGGTAAGAAGTACCTGTAAGTAAGTGCGAAGTGTGAGCTTTGCTCATTTGTTTGCATAAACACCCAGTTTCTTCCTCTGTTCAAGCTCTGATGAGATGTCCTCTTTGTAGCACCGCTGTTTGTTTTCAGAGTTCACTTCTTCTGTGGTGTGGGTATGTCCTGACCTCAGAATGCGTAAAGAGCTCAGTGCTACCGCCACAGAGCCTGAAAGTGCTGTCTACTTCAGAAACGTGACCTACTCAGCCACAGAGGAAATATCCATACACTTACATAGTAGCTAAGAAGCATGCCTTAGAGATCAGCAAAGCGACTTGTTCCTTAACCTCCTTCCTGTCTTCTGGAAGTCATTGGTATTTCTTAATTCCACACCCCAGGGTGATTATGTCATTGTAATATTGCAAAGGACAAGATAATTTCCTGAGTGTTTCCTAAACTTCACATTGAATCTCAAGCACCTGAGGCCACTGATAAATCTGCAGATTACCAGAGCTCTTCCTTGGGAATTCTGATACAGTTCAGTGTGAGGTCTGAAAGTATGTGTTTTGGAAAAGCACTGCAAAAACTTTTTTCAAAAGAGATTGAGAACATCTATAGGATTAAATTAAGCATAAGTAGCCTTATAAGAAAAGTATTAGTAGGATTTACAAATTGTAATTTTCTGGATTGTAGTTTCTTAAAACTGTTGTTTCTTGCTATTAAAGTGACAGCCTGACAAGTTGTTCAGATATTAACTCTAGTCTCATATTAACAGAAGTAAATACCTATGTCTGAAATGAATACCGCAGGCCTAACAGTAACATGTCTTTTCCAATGTTGTTTCTCTTATTCAACAGTTTGGATGAGATGGCTAAATATGACCTTCCAGACACATTTGATTTAATCACAAAGAAAACCGGACAAGAGCAGCTCTTCTACGTGGGCCACTCTCAGGGGACCACCATAGGTGTGTTTGGGGCAGATGTGATCAGAACATTAGTGCTTCCATTTCTATGGAAGGGATCATTTCTTTCTGTACTTTAATCAGCAAACCATTCTCCATGGGTGGTTTCAGAACCGTAAACAAAACAAAGATGATAGTAGCAGGTTGTTAGATAGGCCTAAAAGAAAGAATATTCATTTATTCATTTGTGTACCCCACAAGCATTGTGAGACACTGGGTTACATGCTGGGTTAGCAGAAATAAATATGGATCTATATTTCTTTCAGGGATCTCACAGCCTGGAGAAAGACAAAAGGAAAGCAGAAAATAACAAAAGTGTGTTTTGTGCCATAATCAATGTGACTTTTGTTTACTATGTTTGGTTTGCTCTTGGGTAGACCAAGTGTGAGTAGACAATGCTGGCAATGCTGTGAGGCACCTCGGTCCTCTTAGTGCTCTTTACTTCACTGTTTGGAAACTGCAAGCAGCTGAGACCATTATGATTGATAATTGTGAGACCATTGCCATTAATGTGCATATGTACGTGTGTATGTATTTTACTATCCGCATTTACCAACTGAGAGCACTGAGAAGCATTTCAAGAAGATAACTTCATGCAGCTAATGAGTGGCAAGTCGAGGTTCTAGCCCTGTTTTGTCTGACATCAGACTGGTGAAACTGCAATGATCCTTAGAAATTAGTCAGGCATGCTCCACAGAGGCTGCTTGAACCTACTAGTCAATATTTTCTGTATGACTAGACATGCTTTCTCTAGGGACAGAAAACTGATTTTAATTTGACTTAGCTAATTTCACCCTTAGGAAATGTAGAAATTCTTCCCCACAAATGGCAATTACTCTGAATTGGTTTTTGTTTTGTTTTGCTTTATTTTGTAATGTGGCTGGCTTTGTTATCACATAAAATGAAGAAATAATAGTTTAAATCTATGAACTATTATCTTCCTGGCTTTCAGCTTTCATGGCATTCTCTACAAATGCAGAATTGGCTAAAAGGATTAAGATATTTTTTGCACTAGGACCAGTTGTCACTGTGAAATATACTCAAAGTCCACTGAAAAGATTTTCAAAATTTTCCAGACCAGCCATTAAGGTATGTGATTTCCTCATGTTTAAACCTAAAGTAACTATAAGTATCTCCACTTATGTCAATTTCAAGAGAAGACAAATGACATTTTACCAACACTGAGGTATCTACACCAGCTTACTGATGATGCACAATCTTCTTAGCAAGGTTCAGGGAGCTCATTCAGATGCCATCGGTATCTACATCTATATCTAAAAGTGTTCAGGGTCACTCCTTAAACATGGCTTAAGTGAGAATAGGGGGAAAGGCTTTACTGATTGTTTTTTATTCTCTGGAGTCCTAAGATTATGAAACAGGTTATTTCAAAACAAAGGTAAGATTGGATTAGCATACATAGGAATCAGACACTGATTTATGTTATAATCCATTTATGTTATAACTCGGCCTGAAATTTCATTAGTAAAGATGAATTTATTAAGGTTAATCCCTTGTCCCTAGAAAGAATTAATTATAATATTCTTGCAGTGGTGGCTCGTTATGTCCATACAGTCAGTATTTTAATAGGTATTTTTGGAATGTTTACTAGGTACTAGAAACTACATAGTTTTATTTTAAATATCATCTGGAATTTTGCAACAATTCTATCTCATACATGTCAAATTTTCCATTTTGTAGTTGAGAAAATCCAGGGAAATAGAAATTAAATTATAAGACAAAATCCAGACTCAAACATAAGCATGCCTGACTCCGCAGCTTTACCAGTTTCCAATAGAGACTGGTCTACGGGAATATAACAAAAATACAGATTAAAGACTCTTAAAGAAATATAACAAGAGGTGAGCTGGGAAGACTACAAAGACAAAATTAAATCCATGGTTTCACAGATTACTGACACAAAGCAGGTTTTTCCTCCTGCCCAGTTTTTTTCTGAGTTATCACTCATTCATCCCTAAGCACTCATGAGATTTTGATGGTGCTTTAAATTGATCTTGCAGGCATTGTTTGGTGATAAAATGTTCAGCCCTCACACACCACTCGAGCACTTCATTGCCACAAGGGTGTGCAGTAAGAAGATATTCCATTCCATATGCAGCAAGTTCCTATTTAACCTAGTTGGATTTGATATAAGAAACTTAAATATGGTATGTATTAGTAGTTGAGTCTGAGAATGTGATGGTTTTGTAGTACAAGAATAATGTGAGTTCCCTCCGGATTGTGTCAAAAGCACATTTTAAGGTCTCTTTTTCATCTCATAGAATGTAATTAGTATGTTCATGGCTCCCAGACCAAGTCTGAGATTCTTTTGGGTGTCATAGGAGGATTTGAGAAGAAAGCTTTACTTCCAGAAATTCTCACCAAAGCTTGAAGGATATTTACTTTAGTGAAGCATATCAGGGGTACATAGAAGCTTCATCCTTGGAGCTATGTGAGGTAAGTCTAGAAAAAAGTGTGCATTACCTTCTATCTTTAAGCAGTGGGCTGCCCTCTCTGGAGTGTATGAAGTCACTTCTTAGGACAGAAACACAAAGCGGAGGGAGCAGAAATTTCTTACTGATAGGCGTCTTTGTTTGCTGTGTCTTCAGAGAGTGTGGTATATATTTTTCCTAAATAATAATGTAACAAAAGTAAAAGAAAACACATTCAGATTTGTATCACATATTCACTTGCATGATTATATAATTAGCTATAATCTCTTTTCAGAGTCGCTTGGACGTTTATATGTCACAGAAACCTGCAGGAACGTCTGTGCAGACCATGCTGCACTGGGCCCAGGTACATGCTTCCCATGTCTTCCTGAGACCCTGGAGGAGTGCTTCTTCAGACTGCTCTCCCAGAAGCCTGAGAGTGGGCCCCAATTCCTGAATTTTAATTTCTTTGCTCCCTATTCTCTCTGTCCTCCTCTGTCTGCTTTGTGAGCCGGAGGCCCACATATTCTGACCAAGTTCTTAGCCTTAGATGACCCCCAAGTGCCTTTTCAGAAAAAGAGGATGTTTTATCTTTTAGAAAATCAGCAGCTGAAGTAGGACTTTATATAAAATGACAAGACTATTCCAGAAAGATTTGTTTATATATGATGTATTTCATAGTGATTAAATAATGTTTTATTTAGAGCAAATTAATTTCTAGGGAAGGATTTAAACAGTTTAATCATTTGTGTTTTTACCCTCAGTTAAAATTTTATTTGCTTTATCATATTAGTATATTTTATGAACTCAGACATGAGACAAATTCAAGTCACATAGCTTCTGAATCAGGAGTGTGTGTGTGTGTGTGTGTGCGTGTGTGTGTGTGTGTGTATTTGTGTTTCATTGTTTAAACTTTACCTGTATTCTTGGCCCGTGGCATTAGCTTCATTCCTTTAGAAAAGTGAACAAAATGGGCAGAGTCAGGCCAAGTGTCCCAAAAACTCACCCTAGGACTGTATTGCTTCAATCCAACATCCAGATGACCCCTCAAAGGGGAGGTGCAAGGCAATACCACACCTCACACAGAATAGTGAGGATCTCTGAGTGAACATTCATCACAAAAGTGGCAAAAATGTTTAAAGATGGAGAATACAGTCAGAAAAGCAAACCATTTGACGCAATAAATAAGACACAAAATTGTTTAATATTAGCAGTAATAATTTTTACCTTTTTCTCCATACCTTTATTAATCCATGGTTGTTATGCAGATTAATGAGTTTTGTTTGGGAAGATTTACATTTGCACATAAAATATTTTAATCATTAGCAATTTTTAATGTTGGAAATGTAGAGTTGATGAACAAATCCATATATATAAATATATAGATATTCCACACATATATATATATATAAGTATATATAGAAGATACATATAAAATATTTCACACTTTTAATAAGGTAAGAGCTAAAGTTGAACCTCAGAGGTAGAGCAATTGTCTGGTCTGTGTAGTTACACAACATGTGTTAGGTCTTTGGGTTCATTTCCCAGCACTGAGAAGAAAAAGTCAACATGCATCCTTGTGACATTTAAAGGCAAGGTTTTCTGTGGACTTTCATGAGGAAAAATATGGGAAGAGGAACTTGTGAAACAGTTCTTGAGCTGGCATCCATTTTTATAAACTTTAGTACATGACTGACTAATCTTTAGTGATACTTAGCTTATGTGATAAAAGATCTTTGTATATTTCTTGCTTCTAACATTAAATTTGTCTGGTTTCCTTATATCATTTTAATATATTTATTGATTTTGTTTTGTCTTAGATTTTAAATTCTGGTCAACTTCAAGCATTTGACTGGGGAGATCTTGATCAAAACATGATTCACTTCCACCAGGTACAATAATAATCATCATAGTCAGTTGCATACTGCAAATGAACTATTAAAACCTGTGTCCACACATGCACTCATTAAGTACATACTACTTCTTATTCACTACAATGGATGCTGCCTATTATTGCTATTATACTGCTTCCTGGGACTTATCAATGCTCCATATCATTATTTCCATCTTCACAATGATGTTTCAAAGTAAATATTACCATCTCCATTTTTTTCAGAAGTTCAAAGAAGTTAGGCCCACTGCCAAAGTATTTAGCTAGCAAACAACCAGAATGTGAACCAGAAGTTCCTGTATCTAAAGTTTATACTTCCCACCATGCTTCTCAACAAAAACTTTTGGCATTTAATTAAAACTATGCTTGGAAGAACAAATGAAAGTATACAATCTTTGTTGTTAAAATATATCATCTAACTTATTATCTGTTTCTAATAAAATTAACTAACATTTTTCTAATTGTTCATCATCTTCTATTTTTAAAAACTAACATCTATATCTATATCTATATCTATCTATCTATCTATATATATATATATATATTTATCTGCAATATCATGTTTAAGAGCAATTAGCAATACCTGCCAAGGAACAGTGTCAAAATATTTCTTGACACTATCTACGAAGATACTACTAGCTATGTATTTATTAGAGCAAATATTCTATATAAAACAAATTATACATTGTTATTTTTCATTACGATATAAGGACATCTTATATTTTACCTTTTTGATAAAATAAGCCCAAACTGAACAAATAGTCATCAATATTAATGATGCATGAGTTTTCAAATATGTAATACAGGGAGTTGGAAATTTTTTAAATGATTATTTTCAATATCACAATAAATATAACAAGCCAAGCATGCATAATGCCAACTGGTGTAAAACATCCGATTTTTCTCTTAACCTTCTCTAGTTAGATTTAATGTCACATGCATGCTGTTAGAATTCTATTTTCTTTTGTAATTAATGAATTTTTGTCTTATTAAGAGTATGCAGCTTCTTTAGGAAAAACTTTTTGGGAGACGACCTAAAAGATTGGCTTAAATGAAAGTGGAATCAGAGCTTTATCTTTGTGTTTACAGATTCAATCACAATCATGATGATATAATAACTCAGGTTCAGTTATGGGTCTTTTGCTTACAACTGCTGGGGAAGAAAATGGGAAAATTCAAAACAGAAAATGAACTCTATGCATATTTTAGAGTCAATAACCTTAAACACAACTATGATTACAAGAACTATAAACTAAGTGGCTGTAATTACAGAAGTCAGTCACCCACAATCCTTCATTACTAAGAAAGTAAAATATTTTTCTAGATAAATACATGCAATTCTAATTGTCAGCTTTTAAAAAATTCTGTGGCTAAAAACTGTCAGAATCCATTTGAATCCACATATTAATATTCATTTTTTGCTATGTCATTTTCTAGATCTCTGCCTTCATCCTTAGTAGAGAAATTAATCATTGGAGTAAAGGAATTCTAATTCAGTCCTGACACATTTTGCCTATAAAAGCTTGTGATGTTTGTTGCTTTCTCTATGTGGCATTGTTTTCTATTCCTCATCGTTCTCCATCTTCTCATTTAAATATTAACACTTTGTATTCTACTACCAAGAGAACTGCAGCCAGGAAAAGAGCCTCTTCATTCACTAATTGCACTTAACCTTTGGTGCCCTAAGCCAGGCCTTCTGGAGACCATCATCCCTTATATGAGGAGTGCTAACCTGCACTGGATCCCTCTGTGCCCTTCACATTGCCTTCTCAAAAACACACATCTCCATCTAATACTCTCTCTCAAATCCCACATGTAAGGCTTCTTACCTTATAGGTATCACTATAAAGAATGTGATGCACTAAGAATATTATTAATCTAAAGACCCAGGCACTAATCCTTCAAGTGAAAGTTACACCCAACCTGAATACAGCAGTGAGCTTTGCTGAATGTCACTCTCCTAAGGAAATTTGAGGTGCATAATTACCCGCTCTGATTCTCTTCCAGACACATTTCTATTGCTCAAAGAAATCTCTTCCAGGCCAGTGTAACAATTTCCTTTGGTTCTATACTTTTTTCCATTTTATCTCTTTCTTGTAATCTTTTTACATAAATAACCAAGATGTGTTATTTAGATTGAGCTGCTGTAATAAAATCCCGTAAACTGGGTGATTTAATCAACAAAAATTCATATTCTTGCAATTACGAAGGGCATATTCCCAGAATTAGGGAGCCAACATGGTGGGTTCCAGTGAAGGCTGGTCCTGAATTTCCATGGATACCTTCTTAATGTGTGTTCACGTGGTCTTTCCTTGGTATATCCTCCTGGAGAAAGAGAGAAGGAGAGAGTGCATGTGAATGAAAGAATGATTCCTTTTTATGTAAGGCTTCTGTATCTAGTGAGTTAGAATCTTGCCCTTTTGACCTCATTTAACTTTAATTACCTCCTAAAACTCTTGTGCAGTTAGAAAGAAATGTCAATTTGAATGAGTTTTGCATCCCTGGGAACCGGGGGAGCACGCTTCTGATTGTATCTAGGTGGGGAATGAGGCATGGCCTTGGAGTCTTTGCCTGGTCCCTCATTTCTTACTGCCATGGTATTGGTTCTGATTCTGTTTCCTGAATGCCATGAAATAAACATCTTTGCTCCTCCATGCCCCACTTTCTTGATGTTTCTACCTGGGAGCTTGCCATGTGCTGAATCTCCTGAAACAGTGAGCTAAATCAACTCTTTCCTTCTTTAAGCTGTAGATATTGGTATTTTGTCTCAGTGACAGAAAGCTGACTAAGCTGTCTCCAAATAGGGTAACACTGAGGCTTGTTACTATGACAAATCAATTTGGAGAACTATCAATTCAGCATACAGAAGATAATAATCAGAAATTATTTAGTTGTAAGTAGCAGAAAATAATCGTTTTAGGGTAAAAGAGGAAAGAAGTTCTGCCTTTCTACATTACGATGTCGGAAACTGACAATGGCCAGGAACTTAGACAGTATCATGTCTTCCTCTTTTTTTCTTCTTTCAGTGCTGCCTAAACATGCTTGTTTCCATTTTGAGGCTCTATAAAACTTGAGCTAAGATGATCCAGCTGACTTTTGCTATTTCAATCCCAATAAAAAAGCCAAGATGCCCTCAGTAACTAGCAAAATGTTCCAGAATTGGAACAGTTTGAATGGCATACGATCACTATAGCATGAAGAATGAAATTCTGGTTGGCCACAGTTTTGGACTAGAAATTGAGTTGTATTCATCCAGAAGAGAAGGTACAAAGGAAAACTCACTGGAGTCTTCCACTGCAACAGGCTAGTTCCTGTTACACATCGTATTTCGACTGTTTGTTTTTATACATTTTTATCAATACTTCCAAACAGTTGCTGATTGAGTGTCAACAATGCTATTAAGCCCCAATTTCAATTCATGAGAAGGGACATTTACCCAATCCAACTTTTTGCTTTAAGAAAAAAATGCACTCTCAGATCAAATGGTACCTAAAAAATAATTTCCCATATTTCTAGAACACCCCTCCTCTAAAAAATTTCCCCATTTTTTCAAGTGTACAAGTCAGAAATGTAATAGTTGTATTTTTATTTGAAATGCATATTATTGTACTTCAGATATTTTTGAATGTTTTAAGACTTTAATGATTCTATGTCATTAAGTGTATACACTTTTAACATTTAAAAAAACTTGTTTAAGGACTGATAGTTAATATTACTTCTGTAATGTAATTTTTTCATTACATGTAGATTACACCTCCTTTATACAACATCACTAAAGTGGAAGTTCCAACAGCAATATGGAGTGGCGGACAGGATATTGTGGCTGATCCTAAGGACATACAGCATCTATTACCTAAAGTTGCCAACCTTATTTACTACAAAATGATTCCACACTACAATCATATGGATTTTTACCTTGGAGAGGATGCGTACCAGGAAATTTACCAAGACTTAATTAGACTGATGAAAGAATGTTTATAAAATTGAATACATTTCCTTTCTTTAGGCAAGTGAGTTTTTATAATAATAATGAGGTGGCTAGATCTAAAGGTAATCCTCAATAATTTTGACCTTCTGCTATTTTCTGTCCTTTCAGTGATATTATGATTTGAGTCTTACTTCTAGCCAACAGAATAGCAAAAGTGGTAGACACATAAGTTACAATATATATGAAAGGTGATGGGATGTTATTCCCTAATTATATTTCATTATATGGTATCACACACATGCCTATAATTCCATCACTCTGGGAGGCAAAAGTAGGAGCATTGTAGGTTTGAACCCAACATGGGCAATTTAGTGACTTAGCAAGGCCTTGCGTTAAAATTTTAAAAGATGCTGATGCAGCCCAGTGTGAAGGCTCATAGTTCAAGCCTTAGTACTGAAAAAATACATCAGAGTAGACTGGAACAACAAATTGTCCTTGTTGGCCTGATGAAACAAATAGATGTAATCAGGAAGCCGACTCTTCAAAGGATGGTGTGTGGCTTTTAGAGCCTTCATGCTTTTAAGCAGAATAACGCAGGGCTCCCAGACACACGGCCGCGGAAAATGAATTCTGCCTGAAACAAGACTGACCATAAGTCTCCATAATAGACTGCCGCTGTGAAAGAAGCCTTGACTGCAGCCTGTGAGACCTAACCTACAGAAATAGTGAATATTTAAAATTCTAAGGCACTAAATTTGTGTTAATTTGTTTTCAATAATGGTAAACTGCTTCTACTAATTATTATTTTTAATATACCTGAATTATGTAATCAGTATATTTCATTATATTAATTCTAAATTATAATATATATTGCTATATAATCCTATAATACTATGTTATAGATAGCTATTGTATTTATAATATTTCATGCTTATAATATAGATGATGGTTATTTTGTCTGGTTGAAAGCTTTCTTATTTCACTGTAAGTCTAGGTTTCTCACTTTGTTTTTTACTTAATGTTTCTTTTTCTCTTTGCTTTAAAATGTTGCTGTCTATAAATTGTGTTCGATTTGCAGCTCTGCGACAAAATGCATGAGTTAAATAATTTAAAAGGAGGAAATATTTATTTTGGCGCATGGTTTTAAGTGGTTTCAGTTCACAGTCAGGTGGCTCCACCGCTTTTTGGCTTGTGATGGGGCAGAATACCACGGTGCCGAATGCGTGTTGGAGCAAAGCTACTCACCTCATGGCATCTCGGAAGAAAAAAGCAAAGCAGTACATCACATATTCTTCAAGGGAAGGCACCCAGTGACCTACTTGTTTCAATTAGGCATTTCCTCCTAAAATTTCCATCACTTCCAATAACACCATCAGCGAAAGACCAAGATTTCAACGCAGAAGCTTCTGGGGCTATTTAAGATCCAAGCCACAAGTGGATGATACTCAGAAATTTGATTTAGATGAGCTTTAGTGTGGTTTTGATGTATATCCTGCTTTGACATTTATGAACTTCTTGTTTCTGTGAATTTATAGTTTTCATCAAGTTTGGAAAATTTGGGCTATCATTTCCTCAAATAGTTTTGATGTCCCTCTTTTTGCTAGATCTAATATATATATATATGATCTAATATATATATATGTATATATATATATATATATATATATATATATATATATACATATGTATATATATATACATATGTATATATCTGAAGTTGTGTTTTCCAGTTGTTTTCCTTGTGGATTCCATTTTAAATAGTTTCTGCACCTATGACTTGGCATTCAGGGTTTTTTCTTTTGTAGTTTTGTAATCATATCTGATACACTACTTTATATATTATGTCTTTCATCACTAGAATTCCCATTTGAGCACTGTAATGGTTGATACAGTGTGTTGACTTGAGACGGTCAGAAGTTTAAGTGACTCAGCAGAGTCCAGGGTCCTTACTCTGTAACATTCTCAGTCTGTGCAAGAGCAGGGCAGGGAGATTATATGAGTACTAAACCCAACATACAATAAAAGTCAAGTGAGGAGGGGCCGATCGCTGGTTCTTCAGAGGAGCTGCGGGATTAGCCTTCAGCTTAGAGGTCATCCTTGGCTTCTGGCGCAGATTGTTCAACTTCTACCTGGGACTCTTTAGACTTCCTGAATAGACTCTTCAGCCTTCGTGGTAGACTCTTCAGCCTTCCATCATAGATTCTTCAGTGTTCCATCATAGACTTCGGCTTCTGCTACGTACTTGCACAGGAGACTGCAGTGAGCACCAGACCTTGGGCTGGACCCTTCAGTCTCCAGCGTGCAGACACCCTGTGCGTGCTTCCTCATCCAACTCTGTGGCTGACCATCATAAACCAATCTCCTAATTTCTTATATATTTGGATATTGTGTGTTATATCTTTTTCTTTAGTAAACCTTGACCTAATACAAGCAGTTTTTAAAAATCCATTTCTCTCATTTTCATGTTTTTCTTCAAATCTTTGACTACTATAACCATATCTTAACATACTTCTTGCTTATGCAATTATTGGCCATATTGAATTTTTTTGTATAACTCCCCCCTCAGGTTATTTGTCCTTCTTTATTGTGTGTCTAACAATAGTTATCTGATGTCAGACACCGACTTTTGTATTGTTGAGTGCTAAACTTTTTCTTTACTCCTTAAATAAGATTGGAGATTTTTGAATAGTCAGTTCACTTATTTGCAGGTAAGTTGATTGGTTTGAGGGTAGTATTGTATCTTCTTAAGTCCAACTCTGAAGTTACCTCTGCTCTGAGGAAGTATTATTTACTCATATGCTTCCTAAAGTCTCTAATGAATGTCCCTGGTGTGCAGAAACATCTGTCTACACTGGCTTGGAATTCACTTGTATTAGTTCCTCCATGACCTCTTTACATACTAGGAATTGTTTTATTTACAATTCTCTAAAATGTTCTTTCTAAGTTTTATTTTGTCGCCTTTATGGATTTTACCATTTTGATGTGCAGATTATAATTTAGTTCAAGGTTCCATGGAAATACTCTCCTTATTTCTAGGATTCTTTCTCTGCCCTGCTGCTTTCTCAAGTGTTCTAATTCACAGGTTTTGGCACCTTCTTCTTCCCTGAGTTGTAGTTTCACTGTCTTTAAATAAACTGGACCACAAAACTCTGTTTGGGTCCCCTGCTTCTGCTAATAACTACCCAGTGATCTTTGGTAAACAGAAAGTCACAGTTTTCATACAGTTAATTTTATATATTTTCTTTCCAAGGGTCACACAGTTCTCTACATAGCCTCTTTGAGAATGTCTAGAAATTGTTTTTTATTATCTTGCTTCCAATGATCTGGTTCTTATGGTGGTAATCACACTTCCAGAGCCTGCTATTGACTCAAAACTAGAAGCAAAAGTTAAGATTCTTTAAAAAAAGATTCCACTCAACTAGTACAGATCCAGTATAACTTGAAAGATGGTGAATAACTATTAAAAAAGTAAATATATAACTACTAAAAACTGTAAGTTCTTCTCGTTTACATCTAAAATAGTCTTGGTATCAGTGTGCTGCAAGTATTTCTGATGAAATCCAGCCCTCAGATTTTAGATACAGTATGTGCAAAGAGACTTTAGTGACTTATCTGAGTTTCTAAAATAGGATTAGAATCTTACCTCCCTAATGTTGATCTACATCAATCTTTGCAAAAGCTTTTCTGTTTCCTCTTTTTAATTACAATCTTTTTTACTTATTTACTTTTCTCTTATTCCTCAAAACTGTTTTCTTACCATGAAACGGTGCTAGTCCAGGACCTACAATGACTTTCTGCTTTTTATTTTATTGCATCAAATTCTAACTACCTTGTCTTTCAGCACTTTCCCATAGTTGACTCCACCTGTGTTTTCAGTGGTATTTGACTCTGCTTCCTAACCAGCTGCACATCTTTCATCCAAGCAAGTCGCTGTCCACAAGCCCTCTTACTCCTATTTCTCAGGTGCCCACACTGTTACCTCACAGCAGACGGAGGTAACTTGCGATAATGCATTTCTCAGTCAAGTAAGGTTTTCCAATTTCTATTGCTCCATTATAGGAGAAAAAATCTTTTTTAATTAATAATCTCTTTTTAATAGGAATTTCAAAGTGTATCACAGTCACTGTTGTCAATTATATCAATGTGAAATGTGAAATCTAAATCTGAATACTGACATTCTAGAAGGGAAAAAACTAAAACTGAACAAGTTTTCAGTTTCACTGTAACTACTTTGTGCTGGGCTTGAAGAGTCTGAAGTATTTTTGGAGATGGTGCGTCTTTTGGTAATCTTTGAAAATAAGTTTTCTAATAACTCTTCAAAGTTATGTCATTAATTTCTAAAACTTATGCTGCATCTCTTTTTTGTCACAGGCTGGAGATATGAATCAAACAAGGCAAATGTAGTCTGTATTTTTATCATTTATGTTAAATTTAAAATCTGGTAGAGAATCCTGACTCCAGGAAGACAATAATAAAAATAACTAACATCATTTAGCACTTATTGTATATCAAGACATAGTTAAATTATTTAGCTTGAAAACTTAAGAATTAGCAGAAAATCTAGGCCTGAACCCAAATCCCAAATTCTTAATACTTCCTTATACTCTGCATTGTTTCTCTGAAGACACAGGTAAGGAGCTCTAGTACAGGTAGCCCTAATTAGGGAAATTCAGAGTATTTGTTTGCATTTGAATCTGTATAGTGAGCAAGAAGAAAATTTGGGGTACATTTAAAGTGAAAAGAAAGGCTAGAACAAACATCAGTGTTAAAAGGGTTGGAATGATAAAAGGAGTGGCCGAATCAACAGGAACTAGCAACGAAATGGGTAATGTTGGTTCAGAAAAGGAGTGTACTCACATATGCAAAACAGGCTGCCAGGCAGTTCTGAGTCAAATCAAGTTAGCCAAGAGCAGGGCCAGGAGTATCAACCTGGCTGGTATTCACCTGGAAAAAAGTCAGTAGATGTGTCATGTTGGCATTTTCATAGCTGAGATACCTAGGAGACCAACCAGGAGTCTTCCACTTGACTCTGCCCAATAGTCCCCCCATTAGTCCTTCTGTTCTTCAACCTTACAGAGTTACCTCAGCTTCAACAGAGCAGCCCTCCTTCAACAGACAGCGGGATCTGTAATTTTGAGAAGGCGTTATATCCTAAAAGGCAACGTCTTTGTTTCACTTTTATACCTGATATGATTTTTACTTCAGGTTGTATATTCTCACTCCTTTTCAGTTCCATCTTTGAGATTCACCCATTTCAGAGTCAGCTCAACTCGAATTCTGTTCATCACTATGGTGTCAGGTAGATAACTTAGGTTATTTCTGCAAAACAGAGACACCCACTCACCCCATCTGCTGTCATGATGATCAGAGATATAGGAACCTTATTCATATCGCATACATTTAAACATGGGTCCTACAGTCACATTGTTTAGGTTTAACTTCTGGCTCCATTATTATTTTTATATTCATAAGACAAATTAATGCTCTGATCTTCACTTCCCATCTGTAGAGATATTGTTAGCATTACTGTTATCAGATTCCTGTGAGGCAACATATTGAAAGAATTTAATGCAATGCCAGTTACATGGAAAGAGGCTAATAAACTGTGTTTCTTAAAATAAAATGTGAAGATAGCACCTCAGTAGTTTTTCATCTTGACCACAATTTACATGGAAAAATAGAATTCTTAATTTACACACGAATAAAATAAACCAAGATACTAAGTTATATATATAGTCCTACTTAACCATGAAATTTACTTTTTGACTGCTTGAGATTTAGATATACTTATTTTAATAGTATTTATAGATGCTATCTCTACCTAATATTTTAAATGCTTAAAATTTTCCAGGTTCTATGCTAAGTATTTTCAATGTATTATCTTGTTTGATTCTCAGAGTAACCCGATGTTTCATGCACACTATGCTTCTCCTTTACCTATGAGGTAAATCTGATATAAATCTAAAAGCTGTCTTACACAGGGACCAGCATTCTTGATTAATCATGAAGGTATCCTGACTCTTACAGTGCAATTCTACCTGTATCATATTATTCTCTGTCTATTCGCATAATCATTTAAGTACTGTCTAATATTTTATTCAGTGGTATGCTATCCACTGAGCAATGCGGGAGTGTTACAGGGGTATGAACATTTAGTTTCTTCTGTATGTAAAGTTCCATATGAGATGCGCATTTATCTTCTGTAGCCCTCACAATAGACTTTAGATTTTAGTATATTCTCATTTTACATACTATAAAAATCTACATACCAGAAATAACTAAGTTTCTCAGAGTTACATAGCAAATAACAACCTGACCACTGTAGTTGTTGAACGTTTTTCTCTTTGCTCTTAAGGTTGTGTTCTTGGTATAGATGTTATTGCACACAATTGAATGTTAACAGGGTATTATGTAGACCCGAAATGCCCTGAGAACATTACGTAGAAGACGTTGTTGAACTTTAAAGCACAGGATAATCCTAGAAGGATGAAGGGTCAGAGAAGACATTCCAGGGGAGGAGAAACTGTGAAGAAAGTTTTGGGATATCTACAGATCAGACAAGAACAGTGAGTGTCAACAGACAGTGTGAAGACTGTCTGGTTTCTAAATGAACTTAGGTGCCAGCCTAGCTTCTTGGTGAGAGTGGCTATGTCTGCCTTATATCAAAATTGCATTCACCATCACCCAGACACACAGTCAATGATCAATAAACAATTTAAGTTGGGATTGCCTTTTTTGTTCTGAGCCACCTGATTAGGTCCTATAGAAAGTGTAGTACTTTTATGACATGAAATTATATATTTAGCTAAGACTCATTTGTCCAAAATTTCATGATATACATGGTATATAGATGTCATCTTATTAAATACATGGAATATAGATGTGATTTTATTAAATGAGATCTGAGCATTGGCCAGAGAAGGATGGTTGACTGGGTGCCAATTGTTTACAGGGTGATACTTCTACAATGTCTGTGTAATGTCAGCCCAGTACATGTTGAAATTTATTTATTTATTTTTTGCTTAAATGGTTAAGTTTACTTGGTGTTATTAAAAGTTAAATGTTTCAATTTTAATATCACTATTACATCTGAAATAAACTTACATGATATTCTGGAAGAAAAAAAAAGATAATTTCTTGAGGATTTCTTTCTTTCTTTTGTATTGGGGATCAAACTCATAACCTTGCACTTGCCAGGAAGGTGCTGTGCCACTGAGCTTAGTACATTGCAGGTTTGTGTCTTTATTTTAAATGAGATTAACAAAAGAATGCATAATCAAAAGGAAATAAAGAATATTTCTACACACTGTCAACTCCGACCACTATTTGATACTGTAAGATCACCATTAAACTATTTGGTAGCCTTTCTTAAACATTTTTGAAACAGGATCTCACTGAATTGCTGGTCTGGCCAGGTTGGGTTCATATTTATAATCTCCCAGACTTCTAGGATTACATGCATACTGAGCTACTTATTTATTTACTTATTTATATGTCTTTTTGAGCTATGCAGTTCAGGCTGGCCTTGGGTTCGCTCTGTAGCCCAGGCTGGTCTGGAACTCACAAAGATCCTCCTGCCTCAGCTCTGAGGGTTGGAACCACAGGCATCACAGCACACCTGGTTTACATTTATATTTTTAACTCAAAGACAGTTATGTAACATTGAGAAAATTTTAATTTTCCAAATATTTCTCAGAATATGGCAATCCCAGTACGTAGGAAGCAGAGGCGGCAGGGATACCATGAATTCAAGGCCAGTCTTTACCACACAGCAAGACCCTTTCTCAACAACAACAACAACAACAACAAAGAGAATGGTCAGTTTCGTCTTCCAGGTAAAACACATAGTTGGATAATCCATTTGCCCCAAATTGAACTTTCTATTTGTGATATAATTTAGCAGCTAAAGGCTATATTATCTTTTATAGCGATGGGCCTGTCTTTTCATAACTACCTACCCTTCATACAAAGAACAGGAAAGGATATACCTTACTTTTCAGTTTCAATAACTCATTTTTATTGTACAATAAATACCTGATTTTTTTTTTTTTTGAAACAGGGTCTCACTGCAAAGTTCAGAGTGGTCTTGAACCCACTACATAGCCCAGGTTGATCTTGAACTCACAGTAATCTTCCCGCCTCAGATGAATTTGGGATTAGAGGCATGTGACACTATGTCCAGTTCTGATTTTCATTTTTTGACAAGCCAGGTACAGAACACACTTGTAGTCCCAGAACCTGGAAGGATGAGGCAGGAGGAATGCCACAAGTTTGAGACAAGCCTGATACATAGTAAGTTCAAGACCCAGTCTGGAATATATAGCAAGTCTCAAAAACAACAACAAATACCCAAGTAGGTGTGCATTTACGGAAGAGTTTGCTAGAGCTGTCATAATGAAGTCATGCTTTGGGTGGCTTACGTAACAGAAAGTCATTTTCTCAAGTTCTAGAAACTAGACATCCATGACAAGGTGTTCCCAGGGACGGCTACTTCTGTCCTTGGCTTATGGACGACTGACGTCTCCCAAGGCCTTTGCCTGGTCTTCTACTCTAAACATCAGTGTCCAGCTCCCTCCAATTACATTCCATACATAACCCAGTGGGCAAGGATTTCACTGTACAAAACTTTGGGAAACACAGTTGAAATAACATTTGCTGACATGGAAAGACATACCTATAACTTTTTTAAAAGTGAGGACCAGGAATGATGATGCACATCTATAATCCTAGCAAACTTGGGGACTGGGAAAGAATTCTAAGTTCAGATTTAGTCTGGGCCTCCAAGTGATGTAGTGAATCCTGCCTCTAGATTTGACTGATTGAAACAGGGTCTTTCTATGTAGTTCAGGCTGGCCCTAAACTTGTGGCTATGTTCCTGCCTCAGCTCCTGGGTGCCAAATGGCACCACACCTGCTTAAAATATTTATTTTTAAAAATTTATTTATTTATTTTGGTTTTTGAGACAGAGTTTCACTCTACAGTTCAAGCTGGCCTCAAACTTACAAGAATCCTCCTGCCTCAACCTCCTGTGATCTGGGATTATAGGCATGTGCTACCATATCGGTCTCTGGCTAAAACATTTTAAATGGCTGGGAAGGCAGGATGTGTATGATATAGTCCCATTTTTTTTTAACCGGGTATCAAACTCACGACCTTGTGCTTGCCAGTCAGGCACTAATGCTGAGCTAAATCCCCAGCCCTAGTCCCATTTATTCTTCTGGTGCCAGAAATCAGACTTAGGACCTTGTGCTTGCCAGGCAGGCGCTGTAAGCCCCTAGTTCCATTTTTTCTAAACTAAAAAACAAAAACTCATACATGATAGGTGACTTGGGGGTTACAGCTAATAATGGTTCTTTCCTGGGAAATAAAACTGGATCGAAACCCTTGTTTACTTTCCTAGTTCCTGGGACAAAATCTTGACACACACACACACACACACACACACACACACACACACACAACTTAAAGAAACAGAGATTTATTGTGGATCACATTTTGGCTCGCAGTAGGCTGCTCTCCAGACAGGACGGCATGACAGAGAGCAGAAGTCAAGAATGGACGCAGGAGGGGAGATAGATCCTTCTAGGTCACACCAATGGTGACCCACCTCCAGGGATCAGACCCAATTTCCTAACAGCAATTAGTTATAGTGTCCCCATAACCCAATTACTTTCTAACCACATGAAACTCTGGGGGCCATTTCAGATCTAAACCATCACATTCTACCTCACTCTCTAAGACTCATCTGTGCTCTTCATGCAAAAATGTATTTAGTCTAAGAGTCACCAAAGTCTTAATGGTTTCAGCATTATTGAACAGTACAAGTCCAAAGTCTCCTCTGAGGCTTGAGGCGAACTCTTAGCTCTGAGCCCCTGGGTGCGGCCTCCTGGCTCAGTGCAGATCCCTCAGCCTGCTGGCACAGATCCTTCATCCTACTGGCACAGATCCTTCATCCTACTGGCATACACTTTCTAGCTCCCTGCACTGGTCTTCAGGACTTTCCAGTGCAGAGCCTTGATATAGACTTGCATGAGACATTGCCATGAGACCCAAGACCCTTAGCTGGATTCATTGGGTCTCTAGTGTATGAACAGATTTCCTGCACTTTTTTGCATTTGACTTTTTGGGTGAACAATCCTATAAATTATGTGTTCTGTATCAAATGTTTTCCTGACAACAATAGTAGTGACTATCTGAAATCCCAGGAGTCTGGGAAGCTATGGAGAATTGAAAAGCTTGGCCTCAATTTGGGTAACTTAGTGAGATACTGTCTCAAAATAATAATAATTTTAAAAAGACCTAAAATTATAGCTCAGTGC